CCCCGTCTGAGTGAGCCCTTATAAAGCAACAGGCAGCACCAGGCCAACACCGGATCGGCATGTCCATAATGGCCCTCTAGGTTGCTGACTGAGCTGTGCAAATGGGCTGTGATCAATAACCAGTGACTCTCCATGTTGAAGGAGCTGGAAAATTGCATGGGAGCGGGGGCTGTTTATTTATATATTTGTTTATGTTTTGAAGCCTCATCATAGCCCCGATGATGGATCCCTCTTGTTTTGCATCCCTTGTCTTTTTTGTCTTCTGTCCCTTTAAAAACTCGCCGACGCAGCATCCCGGACCCATAATGGAGATGACGCATCGTACTGTGGAGCAATAAAGCTCCCCCGTTACTCGTATTGGGGGCCTTTCAGCCAGACAAGCGCGCTTCTGCATCTCTGGGCCGCGGGGACCCTGCCCCTTTAAGGGAACCAGCGCCGAACTTTGGAACAGCAGAATCGGAGGGCTTCCCCCTTCCGTGTGAACCGGCAGCTGGGTTCCTAGGCAGAGCCTCCCAGCTTCTGTACATCCCTCTGTTTGCTGTGGGCTGGAGGATTCGGGACTAGCGGAGGGAGGAGGGGCCCTTGCGGGAGTAATACTCATCCTGTATGTAACTCGGTTGTGACTGTCCCTCAGGGAAATGAGAAGATGGCAGGGCGTGAAGGGTGGGGGATATAATTCGGAGTGCTTGATGCATATTGAATGAACCCGGGAGCGTCGTAATCTCGGGATCTTTCACATGGAACGCCCGGTGCTCGTACGCACGCTCCCATGCACCCCTTATCTTCGGGGAGGCCGTCTAGAAGGTGTGCCGGAACGTTCTCAAGCTGTCACGTGATTAATTTGACTTATAAAACGCCCCTCCCGGGCACCAGTCTGTATCTGCCGCTCTGTATGTCTTAAAGAGCCAACAGCATCTATTAACCTGATGGTCGGGTCGCGGTCGCTGTGCGAATCTTGCTCGCCGGACATCGAGTCGCGTCGTTTATCCGGAGCAACCGGCACATGGGGGTTTATTTCATTCATTTCATAAGTACCCCCCCACTCCCTTTACAATTTCTACATACTGGAGCTGTCATGGCTACAGAACAAGATGTCTGGTCCCCAGGAATTACCAAAGGGAGTCTCAGAGCCCCTCGCAGCCCGGAGCGGCTTCTATGTCATTTCACTGCCACTTGGTATTTTGTGGCATTAATGTGGTGCAGGGGATGCATGGAGGGGACCGAGGACACTCTCCTGGGCCGCATTGATCAGGCCGTGTGATATATACCCCTCCAGAGGTTCTGTACTCCTGTCCTCCGCCAGTCCCGAGTGGCGGCATGCCATTTCACCGTTTATAAACATAGTCCAGAGTGTGTTCCTCTCACAGAACTGCACCTACCACTTCCTTGTTTGTTCTCTCTCTCTCTCTCTCTCTCTCAAAGCCTTTAATTGCCCACACCACCACAAGAGTCGGTGGTGGGGGGCCGCCTTGACGGATGTCTGCCTCGTGGCCATGTGACCCCCACCCAGCAACTGTCAGCTACTCGGGGGGCCTTTTCCCAGGCAAAATGTACACATTTCCCCATGACGGTAATAGCTAAATATATCAAAAAGGCAGCCTTGTTGTTAATTCACCCACGAAGTGCGGCGTTACTGTGCCGCCGAGTTTTGCAGACTTCAGTGTAAGGGGAAACAAAGAACTGGTGGGGTGCTGTGGGGGAGAAAATGCTCACAAGTGGAATGTGAACTTTAAAAAAAAAAAAAAACAAGCTTAAGCAAATCTGAGAGACAATGAGCTGAATTCATTTCATATTCACAAAATAAAAGGACAAAAAGTGGAGAACAAAATGGCCACCTCTCAAAGCCAGATGATTTTATGAAATTAGAGTCTCAGCAGAGTCGAAAGGGAAAAAGAAAATCCACGGAGAGTCTGGCTGGGGGCCGGAATAGTGAGACATCTTTAGTTTCTGAGATGTGATGATAATACCCGCCTTTCTCATTTAATGAAAAGTCTCGTCGCCTAAAAGCCGCCGCAGCAGGGTGTTACCGCGGCGACGTTGGCCGGGGTCGCTATTGTGACATCATAATGCACGTAGGTACCGGCCCCGGCTTTTCAAGTAGCTTTAATTATGAATCCCAATCAGGGCTTGACCTTTACAGATAGCCACCTTTCATTACTGCACAAAGCCCGCCTCGCACAGCCTTTATCCGTGAACGGGGGGCATCGCTAATGCCGCCATAGTGCCAGCTGTAATTTATTTACGTTATTTCGTTCTTCTGCCTGGGGAGCGGCCGTCGCGGGTCTTTGATCGCTCTGTTGGATGGGCTGTGAATCTGTTTAACCTTGTCCTCGGCACGAACGCGAGGGCTTTAGCGCGGAGGCATGATTACGAAAAGATATGGGCTGCGTCTTAATGCGACTGCACCGATTGCAGGAAAAGGCCTTCGTATGACAGACTGAGGACTAACCCCAGAACTTTCCCTGATCACTATTCTGAAGTCGTATTATATACAGGGGCTGTGTTCGTTGTTGCTGTGGCCCCAATCAAAAAGTTGCTTCAGGACCCCCCCTAATGTAATAACTGTTTGGGGCCAAACTCAGTTGCGTGGTTTGAGTGGTGGTAAACTCGTTATACGGGTATTCGAAAAAATTATTTGATTAGTGAGCCAGTCAAATATTAGTTAATGCTACATATTCCCCCTCCCCCAAAACATGTGTTTTCATAACATGGGAAAAAACAAAAATTAATCAGTTTTTCTTAAAAACAAACTTTATAAAGTAGGTGATCACATATTAGTCCTGTGAACTGTGCATGGAAGCAGAATTCATAGATCAGCAACACAATTGCACAGTAGAAATGAGGATCTTCACCGGTAAAGATTCAAGCAAGAAGATGGCACCAAGCTTAAGACAAATCTGGTCATCTGCGTCAAGCCATCTTCTTGCTTGAATCTTTACCGGTGAAGATCCTCATTTCTACTGTGCAATTGTGTTGCTGATCTATGAATCCATTCCTCGGATTATGGGGGCATATTTCGTCCTGCCTACGTAAAGCGTCCGCTGTGACCTGGCCCTTTGAGTCTGTGTGGATGTTATTCGCAAAGAGCAACTACAAGCTATTAACATCCATAGGCATGTCGGTAAAACCTACAGATATATAACTTCCGTGGTCTCTCAGTAATACGGAACATTGGCTTCAGTTCAGCAAAGCCATAAAACCATAAATAATATAATTTTTTTGCTTCCATACATGCTGTGAATGTTGGGAGAAGCCCTAGATAGGAAACCCTATTTCAGAATCAGTCCGTTTTAAACCATAAGCTCAAAGCAGTACTTTCCAAGTGCAAGCGTATCATTTCCTCCCATTACAAGGCTTAGCATTAGCAACCGCGAGCTAGCCTGATATCAATTGATGCTGTGCGCCTGTAATTTTCTTGTATTTCATGTGTAATTAACTCATCTCTGCTTTATGAATGTTTAAAATGATATGTGGTGATGCCTTGTTATGAAAATAAATGTTAAAGAATAGGAGTTTGAAATGCGTACGATTAATTATAGAGCGCAATTACAGTTTCTAATTGTTAATTACCAGTGTTTTCACGCTCGGGGTGGCTCGCTCGCCTCTTTTGGGCTGGGAGGTCTCTCTGGGTTTTCAGCAGCCTACATTTAACATCTTTAGCTAGTGACACATCCGGCAACTTTCACCCCGAACTGCAGTTGCCGTGGGCCGAGATCTTTCCTAGAGCTTGACTGATAAATTATAGGAGGAGGGCACGAGGTTGTGGAGGTGTTGGAGCTCTGTTGGAGATGCCGATGGAGACCCGTGGGCTCCTCTGACTCCCTGTCTCTTTGGGTACCCTCTCATTGAGGTGAGATTTCCCTTTCGCTCTATCTCAACACAAAATGAGCTTTTCTCCCGGGGCGTGCTCCTCATCGCAATGACATCGTCCCTCCGGGATGCTGCTCACATGCAAGGATGAGCACGGGGCATTTACCAGCTCCTGTGGACCTGAAACCCACAGCCGTTGATGTAAGGCACCTCCTGACTGGATGAACCCTGTGCCCAGTGATGTAAGAAGATTTCTAATTGGGTTTTCCCTGGTGGTCCATAGACTGTGTGGCAGTGGCCCATTTGAGGGAGCTCTAGCAGGAGCTCCACCAACCCACTGTTGGCAGCACTGCTACCAGCCCAATGCTTCAGCAAGCTCCCAGGCTCCTGGTCTCTCTAGCTCCTCCCAGTGGCCTGGGAGGAAGGTGCGGGAGCAGCTACCTATTCTGACAATGACAAGGCTTATTTCCATTACCCTAAACCTACAATCACGGTGTCAAGTGGAGGACCCATCTTTGTCCTAAAAGAACCATGTCCAAACCTTGTTCGTTGAACAGGGTAATGACGTGAAGTGAATCCCCAAATAGGTGGGCCCTCCCCTTCCGCTCTACCCATTTGTTTTTGTTCGGTCTCCCTTCGGCTTGTGGTAAGTCAGCAGGCAGCAGTGCTACATCATGCATTTCTGGCTTGCATATAGACCTTCCAGAGGGGCAAATACACGTCAACCCCAGCATCGGGCTCAGATACTTCCGGCCACCAGCCGGTAGCTACCTGTTCCTATGAAGCGACAGGCCAGGCCCGTATCAAAGATGCTCGCTATCGCTGGTGCTGGCAGGAGGCTGTCCTTCACCCCCAGGCTCGCTCTCAGCCGGACCTCTCGGCCCATTAGCGGCAGCGCGGTTTCAGCTGACAGCCCTTGTCAGAACAAGGCCGCTGGGACGTTAGAGAGGCTTAGCATCCTGCAGAGCCGCTTGGAAATGCAATACCACTGAAGCTCGACAAAAACCCCGGCTCCCACGCAACACCCCACAGCCCGCATCCAACCTCTTAGCTGACTTTTTTTTGTCCGGTGTTGACTTACGATTTATACCCAGGGCTGACGGCTGGTGCCGTTAGCTACCATGCTGTATGCTAACACCTAATTGTGTTTTTCTGGGCACGCATGTACTGGTGAAGTGCTGCTGTCTTCCATTTGAACCCGTAACTTGGATATTCCGAGTTCCTAGTCAGAAATTTCAACTGGAACGCCCCCTGTGGTCGGAATTCCGACTCCTGAAGTTGGAGGAATCCACACAACCCCGCCCCCAGAATTAAAGATGGCTGCACCCTTTATCAACAGAAGTTAAAGCTGCAGTTTTATACTGTTCATTGGCACTTGCGTCGGTGATCGAGGCGGACGTCAGTCCTCTTAAAACCCCCTCCGGATGAATTGCCATTTACCACTGGGTTGAATTAAATCCAACAAGTTATCCAGGTAAGCAAGAAATCAAAGGGGCCCGGTTGGTAAACGGGATTAGCCAAATGCATCCAAGGAGCCCCGTTGCTCAGAGAGCCTCATCTAGGGTGTGAGATTTCCCATGGGGATGGTCGTTAAGGTCAGGGCACGTGGCGGGACATACTGATCACATGGCTTGACCTTCCTTGGCCTCCATTGCCTTCCCCAGGCCTTCGAAGACCTTTCATTTGCCCTTATTTGGTAAGCCATGGCAAACCCTAGGGACACCACCCCCCCACCCCCCGCCACCATAGCCGGGGGACAATTGAGGAATTAGGGTCTTTTTCAAGTAGCTTCTTAACATCTGGATTCCTCACAGGCTTAAGGATAAATGGAAATCAGAGGAATAATTTTGGGAATATAAACTGGGGAAATTAATGGGAGGTGTCACTCTTTTGATGTGGGGGGGGGGGGCTGCAGGGCTGTGATAAATGTATACTCCTAGGCTATGTTCTGCTATTGTCATGCTAATACCGGCTCAATTTGTCACCATTGTTATAGACAGTGTCTTAAACGTAGCTCGAGTGAGTGTATAGTAGTGTCACCATCTCCCATCTCTGTTATTGCTGCTTTTGAAGGAAATTTGTGAACTGGATTTTTGTTGACAGGGAGATTAGAAAAGTACGTTAAAAGAGATTGGGTAGCTTTATTCAGGGTCCCTGTTTGTCACCGCAATACTGGGGAGGAGACCTTCCCTCCTGCTTTTCCTTGTATCATCATCCCAATCCTCTCACCACTCTCTTTGGCTTAGGTTAAATCTGTGTTGTGTGTTTTGGGACTGCACTCCGAGATGACCCTGAATGATCTCTGTGATCATGTGATACGGGTCCAGCCAATGCCGGCTCACCCTGAGGACAGAGAACCAATCCCAATGCTCACTCTGCCCCCTGCCTTTTTCCCCCACAGCAGAGCTGTGCCCTCATTGGGCCACGGCTGCTTCTGCCTGGCACTGCTGCGCTCCATGCCGGCGGCTGCCTACATCATCATGGTCACCGCCCTGCGCTACCACCTCTTCATCTGGAGTGTCTTCTCCCCCAAGCTGCTGTACGAGAGCGCCCACACGCTGGTGATCACCGTCGTCTGCCTCTTCTTCACTGCCATGGACCAGAAGCCCACCATGCGGCTCTAGGGATGGGGCACAGCTCACAGGACGGAGGGTGCCCCCACCCGTCGCGGTCCCACAAGCTTCCTGCTTGTACCAAAACCTCATCCCAGACTGGAGAGAGCCCCCATGGATCCTCCTTTACCCTTTCTACCCCCTTCAGCAACGGTGAAGGTCCACTAATGTGCCCCCTGGTCAGACACCAGTCAGTACAATGCAGCAAATTTGGCACATCACAGTCCCATACACACACACACACACACACACATATGTACATTTATATACACATATATTTATATATAATACACACACACATACACAAAGAGCTGAAATGGATGTAGAGGAGTACATCTGGTAAAATTATAACCAAAACAGCCCACCAAAGCAAATGTGATTTTATTTTTTCTTCCTCTGTTGACATTATGCAATATTTATAATAATATTCACCCAGCACAAAAGTTCAGATTTCCCCCATATGTTCTTATTTGGCAGTCAGGATAGGCTCCTTCGTGTTTAATGCGGTGATTATTCATACAGACTCGCCTGTGCTCTTAACACCGCTGAAAAGGGCAGTCTGCAGCCCAAACTGTCTACGCAGTCTCCAAAAGTATAGGGATCTATAAGCATTTATGTGAAGGTGTATATTTTATGTATGTATTTATTACTGTGAGAGAATTATTCGGCAATAATTGGGGGGGGGGGCAGGTTTTCTCAAGGGCGAAGTGGGGAGAGCGGCATGAATTTCATGCGGAGGCTGGACACGTAGCAGCTGCCTGCTGGCCAGCATGAATGCAGGAGTCGGCCAGTGTTCCCCACTGGCCTGTGTTTCAGAGACTCTGGAACCATCCATGGGCCTTGTTTCACACAGGCAACTCAACAGACTCCTGCACCCGTTCGTTTACTCATTTCCGTTGGGTTGCTCTCAGATGTTTTTCCTGGTCTGTCTTCTGTCTCCGGCTTTGAGGCTTGTGAGAGGTGAGTGGGGCCACAGTCTGTCTCCCCTACCTGCCCCAGGGCATTGATTAGTCTTTGATTAGTTGTCTCCTCTTGGCTGTGGAAAAGCAGCACTGTCTACTAAGTTGAAGCAGGTGGGCAGTGGCTGACGTTATCTGGGCTTGCTGCGCTTACAATAGCGGTTAGCAGCCATGGTTTGCAGTTAGCGACAGCTGTTAGTGGTTAGCGACTGCAGTTAGCATTTAGCAGTTAGCAGCCAGATTTTTCTGTGCAGGACCTGCACCGTGTACGTTGATGCCAGTTGCGGCCGTCTCTGTCTTCCATACCTAAAACTCGAAAGGGCTACAATTGACGGAGATATTTCTCCGAGCACCGAAGCACCATTAATGTCATTGTGTGCGTTTTCAGAAACATAATAGACAGGGAACATTTTGAGCACAACTGCAAGTCGTAAGGGGGCCCTCTGTCTGGCTTCTGTCAAGTGAGTGGAAGCGAGGGAGCAGAGAGTGTGCTTTACAGTCCCGGACGTGTCCATTTATCATTGTCTAAATGCGTAGCGCAGCCCTGTTCTGTTATGGCATTGTTTTTCGGAATTCCTTTATATAATCCATATTTTAATAAGTTCTTGTTTTTCTTTGGGTGGAAGTGTTTGTTTTGCGATTAGCATTTCCCACGGTGCATCTTAACAAGCCCCGCCCCCGCATAATGACCCCAACCAATCAGAGGAGCAGCACACTCCACTCCTGCCGGCATGTCAGGCGAAATTATGGCAGCATCAGGACGCCTCTGCCTCCGAGCCAGCAGGCAGAGGCGGGCAAGATTTAGCTCCCTGTAGCCTAGAAATACGTCATTGTTGAAAGGATGCAATCGGGGCGGGAGGGGGGGTGAAATTCCCCGCCATTAAAGCGACGCCCCACGGAGCACCATGCCGCGATGCCCGCGGGGCAGCAAGTGCAAGCCGCCAACTCATTGTACTCAAGGTCCATTCCTGCCACCCAAGTACCAGTTTATTGAGTACATTTGCATATGATAGAGGCACTAAAGTCGGAGTAATCATTTCACAGCGTAGCCACACGGGTGCTGTTGACGGCCCACTTCCTCCGGAGGGGGTTTTAAGAGGACTGACGTCCGCCTCGATCACCGGCATTTGGGTGGTCATCAAAGGAGCAACAGACTGGAGTAGAGGAAGTCATTCCATTCTCTTGCCTTTAAACCGAGAGGGTATGAGGCTTGTGAGGGGAGGGGGGGGAAGTGAAAAAGCTGCGGTTGATGACGGAGCATCCAGAAATTTCTGTCACGCTAATGCAAGATTGGCCCCGGACAGGAAGCCCGCGTTCAAGATTCTCCATTAGTGTTCATTTTGCGATCAGATCCAGGAAGTATTTGCTCAAGTCACCCCCTCAACATAGCATGCTTCCAGAGCTTTCTGTTACCCATCAGTTTCCATGATGTCCCAACTGGCTGGGCTGGGCTGGGCTGGGCTGGGCTGGGCTGGGGAGTGGGAGGGCTCTGAGGCTGAGGCTTGGCTGTAAGGTCCGGGCTCTCAAATGGCTGCAGCTTTAATCAGTCTCTGCACCTTTTTTGGGGCATTTTTCGTTTTGTTGTTTTCCAGCTGGGTTCTGTGTGCTCCCGTTTGTGTTTGGGCTTTTCTTTGTTGTGCGTGTCGCCGTTTTTTTATCTGTTGTTTGCGTCAACTTTATTCTCTGTTCCTTTTTTATTTTCACAGTTTATCATTTTCCAGTGGAACACTCTAGGAAAATATTTTATTGTGTTTTTTTTCTGCGTTGATATGTAATGATCGAGAGCGTGGGGTCCATTCCTTCCCTCCATATTGATTTATACATTTAATTTAATGTCCTGTTTGGGGTTTATGAGATATTGTTTTGAACAATGACAGTTTGTTTCCTGTACTTCTCGCATTTCGCCCTCAGATCAGATACCAGAAATGCTGTGGTTCTTCACTACGAATAAAATGACTTGACTTTCACAATCTGGAGGGTTTCATTCATTTCATGTACTCCGTGATCAATGGAAGACTGATTTGAAAGCATATCAGATAATAGGTGGCACAGCAGAGTAGTCCGGCTTTTCTGTCTTACTGGGTATCTTCCAAAGGGTCAGGTTTGCCAGAACTGGGTTTGGCTCAGCCGGGCATTTTGTAGGGCAGAAGAAAGACGAGATTAATTCATCTGTATAATAAACTGATCAATACAGACTATATGGCATCGCTCTTATAAAAGGCACAATTTGGTTTAAAGTGTGAATTGGAAAGACAAGTAAATCCAGCAGGAGAACATGTTGTTCGATTACACTTAGATCCAAAAATGTTTTTTTTTTTTTTTCTTTGTGTGATGTGTTTGAGATTGAATCCCATTTTACAGCAGTCACATCACAATGGATTATTTCAAGCTTATTTTCAGAAGTTTGCCACTGATGGGGGATATCAGAATCTCGAGGCTCTCTGACGTGGTGTGACGTGTCTAGAATATTTAATTTCCCAGTCCCACATGAGCCATCCTGGTCAGTATTAGGAGCCACCGTGATGGTTCGCATCATGGAAATGCATTATAAGCATCTGGCCCACGGAGACTCCGCTAGTGGCTCGTCGTCGTTGGCAACGTCTGTCCAGAAATGGATGCTTCGCAATGGAGGCGTGCAACTTATTGCAAGAGTAGGTGGCAAACCTGCCCCCCCCCCCCCTCCATCCTCAATACCCACTCAAACCATCATCATCTTCTCAGTGAAGTCTAATGGAGTCTTAATGGTGGAAAGGTGGGGGCCGTGTGTCAACGGTGGCGGGGGGGGGGGAGGTACGGGGCGCTGGAGTCATCACCGCCTACTCAAAACCAGAATTATTTCCTCTGGCATTTTGCACCATATTAATGTCATTCATAAATTCATATTTGTGTGTTTGTGTAGAACAATGAAAAAAAGTAGGTGTTTTCCCTCTGTGTCTGGAACCCTAGAGGATGATATAAACATATAGACATACTTTAAACCTATTTAGAAGTTTCTGCTTGCTGGTTATTAAGAGTAATATTCCTGATTTGTGCTGGGGGAGAAAAAGGATTCATAGAGTATGATTATTAATAAACAAAATAAACATCACTCCATCTACACGGAATGGTTATGTGTTACACACGCCCACCATGGAGGGAATCTTCTCATATTTGCATATTAATTCAGCAGAAATGAGACCAGCCATAATGTTCAAGTAGCTTAGCACAGGACGCGTCGAACGACCTGCTCATTAGGCCTCAGCTACAAATCACTGCAGAAAGATGATGTGAGGTTATGGCTGAAGACCCTTCTTCACACACTGGAACGCTTCCTGGCAAGTTGATGCTCGATACATTTGCCCAAGTTTTGTTTCCATTATTTTTTGAAGAATGAAGCAGCAGCTGAATTTCACATTTGTTCGGCTGGTTCACAGCATCTTTAAGGAGCATTCAGGAAGGAAAATGTTTTGGATTGTTTCTGTTGTACCTTTTTTCTTGTTGTCTTTAATTTGTTCACATATGCCTAAAAATGAGTTGATATTGCTAGCCGAGAAAAATAATTTATCTCCCCCTGGCAAAGCAATTAGTAAAGATCCAAAATCAGGCTTCGTTTCTCAAATCTGCGCATTCCGATCGTTACAGACTCAAAACAAAGTATGGAAAAAGTCGGCGAGAAATCAGGTCAGACTGAAACGGGCCGCTCTAAACCGTGCCCTCCGTGACCAGCTGTTCCTGAGTTTCTTTACTTCCTGTCAGATCGGGAGCGGTGGAATTGAACTTGGCCAGGGGCCGTTCAGAACCTCGTGTAGTTTAGCGCTCAGTGCCGGCACCTTTGCCAGTGCAGAGCCGGTTCAAGGGGAAAGCGAAAGCCGTTCTAGCTACGCCCTCTAAAGGTATGCCTTGGAATATACTCAATGTCCATTATATTAGCTACCTCTACGTTGTACCAAATAAGATTCCCTTTAGTCTCCAGAAGCACTGCAATAGTAGAAGGGTTGTAGTTTTGGAGTAGCCTTTTCCCAAACCATAGTTGTGCTGTACTTATTTTTGCACTTGTGGCCTTCCTGTTAGCTGTAACGAGTCTGGCTGCTCTTTGCTGACCTTCTCGCATTAACATGGTGTTTTTGCCCCACAGAGCTACTGCTGAACGCTTGTTTTTCATTCTGACGCTGTAGCGAAGATTTCAAGAGGGCGGCTGTTTCAAGATGCTGGAACCAACACACCAGGTTTAGAAATGTTTAGAGCAGGGGTGTCAAACTGCAGTCCTGGGGGGGCCGGAGCCCTGTGTAACTTAGCTCTTTCCCTGTTCCACCACAAATGATTCAGCTCAACAGCTATGTGGTAATTAGCACAAGGAGGTGAATCAGGTGTATTAAATGAGGGGAAACCCAAAAATGTGCAGGGCTCCGGACCCCCAGGACTGGAGTCTGACACCTGTGGTTTAGATCATGCATTTTAGTTGTCCTAACGCTTAGTCAAACAGTGAGTGACCCCTTGTGTGTCCTGTATGTATTCCATTTGAGTCACGCAACCCACCATTTGGAGGAGCAGACTGTTTGCACTAACAAGCAGGTGTGCCTGATAAAGTCAACACTGAACGTAGACAAGGTTTAGCATTTGCAAAGACCAAAATAGCTTCTGTCATCCCAGCCTTTGATGGCTCATTTTTGCAGCATATTTGTGTGGTTTTCTCCGTAATGGGGACGTGTCTGCATTTGTCTTCCTGTCATGCCCCGTACCTCCTTGCCGAGCAGCTTCCTGTTACGGCAGGTGAGCGGAGGCTTGCGGCGGTTTTCTGGGCAGAGCGTGGCGCTGACTCACGGCAGCGTGGCTGTGGCCTCCCTCGCAGCTGGGCGTCCCGCAGCAAACCGGGTCTCATCTGGAATTCAGGTCGAGATCCACCCCCGCGTTCCTCTAGAATTATTAATAAACTGAGCCGCCATATGCAAAATCTACCCAGTGCATCGCCAGGTTGACCGATTAATTGACTGTATCACATGGGACCACAGTGCTGACAACAATTACGTTTTATTTAGCACAGTGGTTCTTAAACTATGGGTCACCAATTATAATTGGGAGGGGTCGTTTGTTGAATTTCTGAATATGCCATGACCCCCCCGAACCAGACCTCATGAGGATTGAGGAAAAATATTAGCGTAGCCATGAAGTATAGCATCTGCTATTAGATCAGTGGGTCAGAAAGAATGGGGTTGACCAATGCTTTTTGGGGAGGTCTCCAGGCAAAATGTTTCAGAACCTATGATTTAGCAGACACTTTTATCCAAAGCAACATACAGTTCAATACAGGGTCCCTGGAGCAATTGGGGGTTAAGGGCCTTGCTGAAGGGCCTAATACTGAAATCAACCTGCCAACATTATGATATGAACCAGCGACCTTCCATTCAGAGGCTCAGCATCAAGGTAAAAAAGCTTTACAATGGAACAAATGTGCCCACTGTGTAATATCCACCATCTCTCCACCTCTCCAGCTCTTCCACTCTTCTGTTGGCCTGAAATATTGATTTTATTAACTTTACGAATTTATGTCACTTACAGTTGAAGTGTTCCAGCCTTTCTCTGGGAATCGTGGAGGCGGAACTTGTGACCTGTCAAAGAGATGGATCCTTTTTCCATGTTGATGAGAACGCAAGTAACGAATTGTAGGCCTGAACGGATGTTGTGAGAAATTATCATCAGCGTTCGATAAGAAATCAAAGGGCTTTAATGTCTGCCCTAGAATTTTTCACATGAATTTGCTTAATATCAGCCTTTGGCATCACAGTTGGAAATGCGTGTTTTCTAACATTGAAGTCAAATATTTGGTTACAGTCGCTCAATATTTAAATATATTTATGATGAGATATGTGTTCCATATCCAGAGGATAGATAACTGATTTCCTCCAGTGAATTTTTGTCCTACAAGCCTCTATGTTTTGTCCTTGGATACTGTTTAAGGTCATGGACCCACATCCACTGCACCAATGTTATTAAATGTTATTCCTCATCCACCCCGTTATTGGAACAGCACTACGAGGGTCTGCAGCGTGTATAGAGCAGCTGAGCTCCTCCACTACGCTCGAGCCTTCCATCACCGCTGCTCCCCTTCCTCTGTCCATAATCATTTATTGTGAGCAGTTTGATAATTCTTCCTCATTCCCCTTTTAGCCAGAAGCCGCCTCGTTCATCTTCGGCGATCGATGAATCTGCTGGTGGTTTCAGGTACGTGTTGTGGAAATGCTGGGTGTAATCAGAGCAGTCATTCCAAACGGGGGGCGCTGGAGAAGAGGCCTCACTGCCCCCGTCTCAGTCTGACCGTCAGCCGGCAGTGTGGTCTGGCGTGATAAGCACTGCGCTCTCACCTTCTCTTAGAATCAAACCACGGATATCTGTTGTTACTATTTAAATTGATATGTCATGCATTGGTGAGTGACACCCCAAAGGAGGGAAGACTGAGGTAACAAGATGAGGAAATTATGTGTGAGAAAATTCAGCAACCATGAACGGAAAATTAGCTAGAATGATTAGAATATGGTGACACACTCAGAAGCCTCCTATAGCTTATGAAAGAAAAAAAAAAAAGCTTATGAAACCAATGAACGATAATTTTATTTATGCTATGTTACTGATTTTCAAGGAGAAGTGTTATGTGTTTCTGCATATATACAGTAAATTTCGCTTCAGGTACATGTCTGCAATAAGTTCAGTGACCCATATTCAGATTTACATAGACTGGACGTTAAGAATTTAACACACCATTTGGTCAAAATCGTGGCGAAATTTCTTCCCAGCTACTTTTCCTTCAATGGTCCTGTATGTTCATTCAAGGCAAATCAGTTGCATTTACAGTTTATGCAAATGCGGTTTGTGTTTGTTTACTGCTGCCGTAGTTTACCCTGATCATCTTCTCGCTGTTGTGTGACATAATTTAATTGCAGTTCTTTACCTTTCCCCTCCAAACAATTTATTCTGTCACCTCAGACAAGCCCACCTG